TACTAATGACATGCAGATGTATGCGGATGACTCAACACTATACACGTCAGCTACTACAGCGAGTGAAATCACTGCAACACTTAACAAAGAGATGCAGTTAGTTTCGGAATGGGTGGCAAGGAAGAAGTTAGTCCTAAATATTTCCAAAACTAAAAGCATTGTATTTGGGACAAATCCTTCACTAAACCCTAAACCTCAACTACATCTTGTAATGAATAATGTGGAAATTGAGCAAGTTGAGGTGACTAAACTGCTTGGAGTAACCCTGGATTGTAAACTGTCATGGTCAAAACATATTGATACAACAGTAGCTAAGATGGGGAGAAGTCTGTCCATAATAAAGTGCTTACCTTCTTAACAGCACTATCAACAAGGCAGGTCCTACAGGCCCTAGTTTTGTCACACCTGGACTACTATTCAGTCATGTGGTCAGGTGCCACAAAGAGGGACCTCAGATGATTACAATTGGCTCATAACAGGGCAGCACAGCTGGCCCTTCAATGTACACGGAGAGCTAACATTAATAATATGCATTCTTTTTTTCCACATTTTGTTATGTTACAGCCTTATTCAAAAATTGTTTTTTCCCATCATCAATCTACAAACAATACCCCATAATGACAAAGCAAAAAACAGGTTTTTAGACATTTTTGCAAATGCATAAAAAATAAAAATGGAAAAATTACATTTACATAAGTATTCAGACCCTTTACTCAGTACTTTGTTGAAGCACCTTTGGCAGCAATCACAGCCTCAAGTCTTCTTGGGTATGACGAAACAAGCTTGGCACACCTGTATTTGGGGAGTTTTCCCCATTCTTCTCTGCAGATCCTCTCAAGCTCTGTCAGGTTGGATGGGGAGCGTTGCTGCACAGCTATTTTCAGGTCTCCCCAGAGATGTTTGATCGGGTTCAAGTCCGGGCTCTGATGGGCCACTGTATGACATTCAGAGACTTGTCCCGAAGCCACTCCTGAGGTCCAGAGTGCTCTGGAGCAGGTTTTCATCTAGGATCTCTCTGGACTTTGCTCCGTTCATCTTCCCTCGATCCTGACTAGTCTCCCAGTCCCTGCTGCTGAAAAACATCCCCACAGCATGATGCTGCCACCACCATGCTTCACCGTAGGGATGGTGCCAGGTTTCCTCCAGATGTGACGCTTGGCATTCAGGCCAAAGAGTTCAATCTTGGTTTCATCAGACCAGAGAATCTTGTTTCTCATGGTCTGAGAGTCATTTAGGTGCCTTTTGGCAAACTCCAAGCGGGCTGTCATGTGCCTTTTACTGAGGAGTGGCTTCCATCTGGCCACTATCATAAAGGCCTGATTGGTGGAGTGCTGCAGAGATGGTTGTCCTTCTGGAATGTTCTCCCATCTCCACAGAGGAACTACATCTCTACTTGTTTTTGGAAGAGGTGTTGACAAGCACCGAGCTGTCTGTTTAACCTCTATGGGATCGGTGTCCCGTACACAGGAAGGTTGAGCTAACGTGTGCTAATGTGATTAGCGTGATTGTTGTAAGTAACAGCAAACTTTCCGGGACATAGACATGTCTTATATGGGCAGAAACCTTAAATTCTTGTTAATCTAACTGCACTGTCCAATTTACAGTAGCTATTACGGTGAAAAAATACCATGCTATTGTTTGAGGAGAGTGCACAACAACAAAAAAGTTATCACGGCAACTGGTTTGATACGTTCCCCTCTGAAGGTAAATAATGTACTTACATTCAGTAATCTTGCTCTGATTTGTCATCCTAAGGGTCCCAGAGATAAAATGTAGCATAGTTTTGTATAATAAAATCAGTTTTTATATTCAAATATAGGAACTGGGTTCAACAATTTGAACCCCTGCTGTCTCTGGCTCCACACCCACCCCGCCCGGCCATCTAGATATGTGAAAGTTAGTGTATAAGCTAATGATCCATCATGTATGACTTTCCTGGGAGTGTGTAAACTTACATGTTGTATTACCATATCAGGTTTGTATGTTCTCTGTAGTTATGTACTTGAAAATGTATCAATTGACCAATTCGGCACATTTGGGCAGACGTGATACAAAATAGTCCAGTATTGCAATGCTTCACTGGATCGATCTGAAACTTTGCACACAAACTGCAATACTATATTGTGGCCTTTCTCTTGCATTTCAAAGATGATGAAAAAAAAAGAAAAAAAGAAAATGCATGTTTTTTTGTTTGTATTATCTTTTACCAGATCTAATGTGTCATATTCTCCTACATTAATTTCACATTTCCACAAACTTCAAAGTGTTTCCTTTCAAATGGTATCAAGAATATGCAAATCCTTGCTTCAGGTCCTGAGCTACAGGCAGTTAAATTTGGGTATGTCATTTTAGGTGAAAATGGAAAAAAAGGGTCCGATCCTTAAGAGGTTAAACTACTAGCACGCAGCTCAGACACCCATCCATACCCCACAAGACACAGGAGATTTAAGGGAGGCTCACAGTACTACATAGAGCCATGACTACATTGAACTCTATTCCACATCAGGTAACTGATGCAAGCAGTAGAATCAGATAAAAAAAAAAAAAGGTAAAAATACACCTTGTGGAAAAGAGGGGACTGTGAAATGATACACACAGGTGCAGACAGACACATACACATGCTAATACAACCACTCTACACACAAGTGAATTATAATATTGTTGTATGGTGGTATTATACATGTTTTTTTTATTTTATATTTTTAATATATATATATATATATATATATATATATATATATTTTTTTTTTTTGTAATTTAGCAGAAGCTCTTATCCAGAGCGACTTACAGTTAGTGAGTGCATACATTTTCATACTGGTCCCCCGTGGGAAACGAACCCACAACCCTGGCGTTGCAAGCGCCATGCTCCACCAACTGAGCTACAGGAGACCGTAGACATGTAGTGGTGTAATAATGTTACATGATGTACTGTTTTATCTTTGTTTTATGTGTGATGTAAGTGCCTTAATGTGTTTGGACCCCAGGAAGAGCAGCTGCTGCCTTGGCAGGAACTAATGGGGATCCATAATAAACCCCAGGAAGAGTAGCTGCTGCCTTGGCAGGAACTAATGGGGATCCATAATAAACCCCAGGAAGAGTAGCTGCTGCCTTGGCAGGAACTAATGGGGATCCATAATAAACCCCAGGAAGAGTAGCTGCTGCCTTGGCAGGAACTAATGGGGATCCATAATAAACCCCAGGAAGAGTAGCTGCTGCCTTGGCAGGAACTAATGGGGATCCATAATAAACCCCAGGAAGAGTAGCTGCTGCCTTGGCAGGAACTAATGGGGATCCATAATAAACCCCAGGAAGAGTAGCTGCTGCCTTGGCAGGAACTAATGGGGATCCATAATAAACCCCAGGAAGAGTAGCTGCTGCCTTGGCAGGAACTAATGGGGATCCATAATAAACCCCAGGAAGAGTAGCAGCTGCCTTGGCAGGAACTAATGGGGATCCATAATAAACCCCAGGAAGAGTAGCTGCTGCCTTGGCAGGAACTAATGGGGATCCATAATAAATACAAATACAAATACATCAGTCCATTACTGGGGGTGATGAGATATCCTTCCATTACTGGGGGTGATGAGATAGCCTTCCATTACTGGGGGCGATGAGATAGCCTTCCATTACTGGGGGTGATGAGATAGCCTTCCATTACTGGGGTGATGAGATAGCCTTCCATTACTGGGGGTGATGAGATAGCCTTCCATTACTGGGGGTGATGAGATGAGATAGCCTTCCATTACTGGGGGTGATGAGATAGCCTTCCATTACTGGGGGTGATGAGATAGCCTTCCATTACTGGGGGTGATGAGATAGCCTTCCATTACTGGGGGTGATGAGATAGCCTTCCATTACTGGGGGTGATGAGATAGCCTTCCATTACTGGGGGTGATGAGATAGCCTTCCATTACTGGGGGCGATGAGATAGCCTTCCATTACTGGGGGTGATGAGATAGCCTTCCATTACTGGGGGTGATGAGATAGCCTTCCATTACTGGGGGTGATGAGATAGCCTTCCATTACTGGGGGGTGATTAGATAGCCTTCCATTACTGGGGGTGATGAGATAGCCTTCCATTACTGGGGGTGATGAGATAGCCTTCCATTACTGGGGGTGATGAGATAGCCTTCCATTACTGGGGGTGATGAGATATGATAGACTCAGGGCTGTGAGGTAGAGCTGTATGAGTGATACAACCAAGCACGATTATATGATGAAACACACGTGACATAATGTCCAACCTGTTACTGTAACAGACAGAGATGGGAGAGTTGTAGGGAACATGTTTATTCAACCTGTTATTGTAACAGACAGAGATGGGAGAGTTGTAGGAAACATGTTTATTCATAAAACCAAAGGAGGAAGTCCACAGATGAGGGAATTAATGAATGACAATGGATAACAAAATATTTCAACAGTATAAAACATTTTTAATTTACAGGCTTAAAGTTAATTGTCCAATGCACCCATTTTATCTCAATATCAAATCAATTCTGGGTACCAATTAAGAACCTTTCTGTGATTGTTTTTAATTAAAATTAAAATGTCAAAAGAAACAAAAATAGCTTCTTAGCAAAGACAATTTCTCAAGCAAGAATTTTGCGAGGACTGTCTGCGAGTGGTCTGAGTGGGGAGGGGAAATCTGAAAACTAGATGTGATTGGCAGAGAGATTTGGAACTTTTTAACTAATTTACCACCTGGTGATGTCAGCAGGCAGACCAAAACCTGCTGTCATTTCAAACAGCTCTTACACTAAAAGGGCATTATCATCATTTTATCATCATTTTCACAACTTCACAGTATTATTCCAACATAGTGTGGAAATATATTTATCAAACAAAGGTAAATCACATTTTTGACTGCAATGGGCCTTTAAAGTAAATAATTTAAGTACATTTAATTAGGCATATACATGTATTTTATGTAACTGAATTTATTTAGCTAAATATATCCTATAACTGAAGTAAGATCCTATTTTAGGATTTCCTCTACTCACCAGCTCCTTCTTCTTCATGCATTCCATGACCATAAGCAGGATCTGTTGTGATTGGCCCTTACTGTAGTTGAAGGTCTTCTGGATGGTCACCAGCAGCTGGTCCCTCACGTCGTCATTTATCAGACTTTAGAAGGAGGGAAGGATTTAGTAGAAGAAGAAGAAGAAGAAGAATTCAGTGAAGAAAAAAACCAGAAGAAGAAGCAGTAGATTGACAGGTCTATCCTCACCCTCCCTCCTCGCAGTATTTGTGAGCGAAGGACATGATGTCCGACGCCCTCCCGCTGCCATCACAGACCACCACGGGGACGGGGGGTTCCTCCCTCAGACTCTCCAGGGTGATGGAGATGACATTAGGACCTCCCTCTACAATCAGACACACCAACGGGACCCCCTGGCCCAGGCCTGCAACACACAGTAACACACACAGAATTAAATACAATAGAATTATCACAGTGAATTATTGCAATGTTTGTTTGTTTGTCAATTAATCCCATAAGGGATGGGTTGCCAACTGGCAATTTAACACGAAAATAAAATGTCATTCAAAAGTGTCATTCATACAACACAAGAATGGATATTGGCATCCCGGCAACATAACTACTGGACGGCCATCTTGGTCAGGGAATGGTTCATTGGTCAGGGAACGGCCATCTTGGTCAGGGAATGGTTCATTGGTCAGGGAACGGCCATCTTGGTCAGGGAATGGTTCATTGGTCAGGGAACGGCCATCTTGGTCAGGGAATGTTTCATTGGCCATCAGTGTTGGTTTGGCTGCAGTAAGAGGTGACAGCTGAGCATCCCTTTGCTGTCCCTGCCTTGTCATGAGCCCCAGGCACAGGATGACAAAGGGAAACCCACAGGTCACAGAGAACAACACGCTCCAGAACCGGAGGGGATGGCTGCCGTTTTACGGGCTCCTAACCAACTGTGCTATTATATTATTTTTTTCGCATTGTCTGTAAATTAGTTTTGTACATAATGTTGCTGCTACCGTCTCTTATTACCAAAAATTGCTTCTGGACATCAGAACAGCGATTACTCACCTCGAACTGGACAAAGATTTTTTCTTTAACCTCTTAAGGATCGGACCCTTTTTTTCCATTTTCGCCTACAATGACATACCCAAATCTAACTGCCTGTAGCTCAGGACCTGAAGCAAGGTTATGCATATTCGCACTCCACACTTTCCTTTCCCACCTGGACAAAAGGAACACCTATGTGAGAATGCTGTTCATTGACTACAGCTCAGCGTTCAACACCATAGTGCCCTCAAAGCTCATCACTAAGCTAAGGACCCTGGGACTAAACACCTCCCTCTGCAACTGGATCCTGGACTTCCTGACGTGGCGCCCCCAGGTGGTGAGGGTAGGCAACAACACATCTGCCACAACGATCCTCAACACAGGGACCCTCAGGGGTGCGTTATTAGTCCCCTCCTGTACTCCCTGTTCACCCATGACTACATGGCCAAGCACAACTCTAACAACATCATTAAGTTTGCTGACGACACAACAGTGGTAGGCCTGATCACAGACAACGATGAGACAGCCTATAGGGAGGAGGTCAGAGACCTGGCAGTTTGGTGCCAGGATAGCATCCTCTCCCTCAACGTGACCAAGACAAAGGAGATGATCGTGGACTACAGGAAAAGGAGGGCCGGACACACCCCCATGGACATCGACGGGGCTGTAGTGGAGTGGGTCAAGAGTTTCAAGTTCCTTGGTGTCCACATCACCAACAAACTATCATGGTCCAAACACACCAAGACAGTCGTGAAGAGGGCACGACAACACGTTTTCCCCCTCAGGAGACTGAAAATATTTGGCACGTGTCCCCAGATCCTCAAATAGTTCTACAGCTGCACCATCGAGAGCATCCTGAACGGTTGCATCACCGCCTGGTATAATATGATATAATATGCCATTTAGCAGACGCTTTTATCCAAAGCGACTTACAGTCATTTGTGCATACATTTTTACGTATGGGTGGTCCCGGGGATCGAACCCACTACCCTGGCGTTACAAGCGCCATGATCTACCAACTGAGCTGCAGAGGTCCAGGTATGGTAACTGCTCGGCATCAGAGGGTAGTGCGTACGTCCCAGTACATCACCGGGACCAAGCTTCCTGACATCCAGGACCTACACACTAGGCAGTTTCAGAGGAAGGACCAAAATATTGCCAAAGACTCCAGCCACCCTAGTCATAGACTGTTCTCTCTGCTACCGCACGGCAAGCGGTACCGGAGCGCCAAGTCTAGGACCAAAAGGCTCCTTAACAATTCATCAAATGGCCACCTGGACAGCTACTCGCTGTTTATTATCTATGCATAGTCACTTTACCATACCTACATGTACAAATGACCTGGATTAACCTGTACCCCGCACGTTGACTCGGTACCTGTACCCCCGCACAGTGACTCGGTACTGTACTGTATTGTTATTTTATTGTGTTACTTATTATTTGATTTTTTACTTTAGTTTATTTAGTAAATATTTTCATAACTCTATTTCTTGAACTGCATTGTTAGTTAAGGGCTTGTAAGTAAGCATTTCACTGTAAGGTATTCGGCGCATGTGACAAATACATTTTAATTTGAACATTAGAGGACTCAATCAATCTATCTAATGTGATTTATAAAGCCCTTTTATGTCAACACAAAGAGCTTTACAGTAACCCAGCCTAGGTCCCAAAGAGCTTTACAGTAACCCAGCCTAGGTCCCAAAGAGCTTTACAGTAACCCAGCCTAGGTCCCAAAGAGCTTTACAGTAACCCAGCCTAGGTCCCAAAGAGCTTTACAGTAACCCAGCCTAGGTCCCAAAGAGCTTTACAGTAACCCAGCCTAGGTCCCAAAGAGCTTATAATAATAATAATAATAATATGCCATTTAGCAGACGCTTTTATCCAAAGCGACTTACAGTCATGTGTGCATACATTTTTTGTGTAGGGGGGGTCCCGGGATCGAACCCACTCCTTGGCGTTACAAGCCCCGGGTGTTTCTACCAGCTGAGCTACAGAGGACCACAAGCTTACAGAAACCCAGCCTAGGTCCCAAGAGCTTTACATAACCAGCCTAGGTCCCAAGAGTTTTACAGAACCCAGCCTAGGTCCCAAAGAGCTTTACAGTAACCCAGCCTAGGTCCAAAGAGCTTTACAGTAACCCAGCCTAGGTCCCAAAGAGCAAGCAGAGGCACAGTGGCAACTAAGGAACTGTCACGGTTTCTGCCGAGGCTGCTCCTTCTCCTTGTTCGGGCAGGCTTCGGCGGTCGTCATCCCCGGAGTACTAGCTGCCACCGTTCGTTGTCTTGATTATGTGTCCTTTAAGTTCTCGTTGTTTCTGTCTTGTGGTTGTGTTTAGTTGTTCTATGTCAGCTGGTGTTGCCCGTCAGTTTAAGCTCTATTGTTTATTAGAGAGTCCGCACGTTGTGCGTTTGCTGTACTTTTACGCGGAGTGCATATTTTGTCCTTGTTCTTCCGGCTCGTTCTGTAGCCGTTATTTTTCTGTGGACTTTATTAAAGTATTTTGGACTTGCATCTGCATCCTGCATTTGATTCCACACCACACCTATGCCCGTCCTTGACAGGAACAACTCCCTGAAAGGAAGAGACCTTGAGAGGAACCAGACTCACAGTAGAGGCTTCCTCTAGTTGGTAGAGGTTAACAGTATACATATCCAACTCCCTGAAAGGAAGAGACCTTGAGAGGAACCAGAGGTTAACAGTATACTGTATATGACTTGCTGGATGGTTGTCTATAGTGTTGTACTGAACTCTATATAAGTCTGCTGTATGGTTGGGTTGACCTACTGGTACTGTATGGTTTACTGACTGTAGTGTTGTCTTAGTGTGCTGTTGTCTGAGTTCTGTATGGTTGGGTTGACCTACTGGTACTGTTTGGTTTACTGACTGTAGTGTTGTCTTAGTGTGCTGTTGTCTGAGTGCTCTATGGTTGGGTTGACTTACGTGTGTTGATCTTCTGCAGTGAGATGTGTTTCTCCAGCTGGCGGCGTAGCTTCACCTCCGCTCCGTACTTCCCTGTTGTGCCGTTATCGGCCAGGATGAAGTGGGAGTGGCTGTTGTTCAGGACAGACAGCTTGGACAGCGGGTTGGACATGGTCTGGTATGGCCGTGTTACCTGGAGGGAATATCACTGACTGAGCAACACATCCCACAAAACAGCAAACTGGAAAACACGTTCTCTCATGATATAGGCCAGGGTATGCTTTACATCAAATAGCAACTGGTGCTTGGAGTAGTGACGTAATGGAGTGAAAGGTGTGAATGATTCATGGCTGATTGTGGAGCTAAGAGGGGGACTGAGTAACACTTACATCCCTGCCGATGAGGTCCTCCTTGTTCTCTATGATGCCCCACGGAGCGATGCCGATGGCACACACCTTCCCTCTGGACTTAGAGGAGTGGTCCTTCAGGGCATCCCCCACGTGACGGATCACACCTATAGGGAAGAAGAAGAAGAAGAAGAAGAACCAAGGGACATAACCAGAAGGATGAACCAGAAGGATGAACGAGAAGGATTAACCAGAATGAGGAACTAGAAGGATGAACCAGGATGAACCAGAAGGATGCACCAGGGTACGGAACTAGAATGAGGAACCAGAAGGATGAACCAGAAGAATGAACCAGAAGGATGAACAAGAGTGAGGAACCAGAATTAGGAAACCAAATGAAGAACCAGAAGGATGAACCAGTATGAAGAACCAGAATGAGGAACCAGAATGAGGAACCAGAAGGATGAACCAGAATGAGGAACCAGAATGAGGAACCAGAAGGATGAACCAGAATGAGGAACCAGGGTCCGGAACCAGAATGAGAAACCAGAAGTATTTAGAGAGATGATCAGAGCCATGTATTTAGAGATCTGCTCAGAGCCATGTGTTTAGAGAGATGATCAGAGCCATGTATTTAGAGATCTGATCAGAGCCATGTGTTTAGAGAGATGATCAGAGACATGTATTTAGAGAGATGATCAGAGACATGTGTTTAGAGAGATGATCAGAGACATGTGTTTAGAGAGATGATCAGAGACATGTATTTAGAGAGATGATCAGAGACATGTGTTTAGAGAGATGATCAGAGCCCTATTTTGCTATTTTCCAATTTTGTTGCATTAGAACCTGTGAAAAAACTTGATTTTTATTTGGATTTCATGTGATGGGCAAACACAACATAGTCCAAATTTGTGAAGTGAAATGAAAAAAAATTGTTTCAAAGAATTCTAAAAAATAAATAACGGAAAAGTGGTGCGTGCATATGTATTCACCCCCTTTGCTATGAAGCCCCTAAATAAGATCTGGTGCAACCAATTACCTTCAGAAGTCACATAATTAGTTAAATAAAGTCCACCTGTGTGCAATCTAAGTGTCACATGATCTGTCACATGATCTCAGTATATATACACCTGTTCTGAAAGGCCCCAGAGTTTGCAACACCACTAAGCAAGGGGCACCACCAAGCAAGCGGCACCATGAAGACCAAGGAGCTCTCCAAACAGGTCAGGGACAAAGTTGTGGAGAAGTACAGATCAGGGTTGGGTTATAAAAAAATATCAGAAACTTTGAACATCCCACGGAGCACCATTAAATCCATTATTAAAAAATGGAAAGAATATGGCACCACAACAAACCTGCCAAGAGAGGGCCGCCCACCAAAACTCACAGACCAGGCAAGGAGGGCATTAATCAGAGAGGCAACAAAGAGACCAAAGATAACCCTGAAGGAGCTGCAAAGCTCCACAGCGGAGATTGGAGTATCTGTCCATAGGACCACTTTAAGCCGTACACTCCACAGAGCTGGGCTTTACGGAAGAGTGGCCAGAAAAAAAGCCATTGCTTAAAGAAAAAAATAAGCAAACACATTTGGTGTTCACCAGAAGGCATGTGGGAGACCCCCCAAACATATGGAAGAAGGTACTCTGGTTAGATGAGACAAAAATTGAGCTTTTTGGCCATCAAGAAAAACGCTATGTCTGGCGCAAACGCAACACCTCTCATCACCCCGAGAACACAATCCCCACAGTGAAGCATGGTGGTGGCATCATCATGCTGTGGGGATGTTTTTCATCTGCAGGGACTGGGAAACTGGTCAGAATTGAAGGAATGATGGATGGCGCTAAATACAGGGAAATTCTTGAGGGAAACCTGTTTCAGTCTTCCAGAGATTTGAGACTGGGACGGAGGTTCACCTTCCAGCAGGACAATGACCCTAAGCATACTGCTAAAGCAACACTCTAGTGTTTTAAGGGGAAACATTTAAATGTCTTGGAATGGCTTAGTCAAAGCCCAGACCTCAATCCAATTGAGAATCTGTGGTATGACTTAAAGATTGCTGTACACCAGCGGAACCCATCCAACTTGAACGAGCTGGAGCAGTTTTGCCTTGAAGATAGGGCAAAAATCCCAGTGGCTAGATGTGCCAAGCTTATAGAGACATACCCCAAGAGACTTGCAGCTGTAATTTCTGCAAAAGGTGGCTCTACAAAGTATTGACTTTGGGGGGGAGTGAATAGTTATGCACGCTCAATTTTTCAGTTTTTTTTGTCTTATTTCTTGTTTGTTTCACAATAAAAAATATTTTGCATCTTCAAAGTGGTAGGTATGTTGTGTAAATCAAATGATACAAACCTCCCAAAAATCCATTTAAATTCCAGGTTGTAAGGCAACAAAATAGGAAAAATGGCAAGGGGGGGTGAAAACTTTCGCAAGCCACTGTAGCTATCACCATTGGAAGGTTGGATTTGAGTGAGACTTAGGCAGCAGGCCAGGATTCAAAGGACACGGTAATTGACTTTAAAGGTGACTTCTGCTTGAGCGAACTTGATTTCTATAAATATATGGGATGTTGCCTAAATCTATCACTGTGCTCAGGTCGTTAATCTGTGTTGGATTGAATCTGGGTCTTATTCCTGTTCTGAACTATAATGTGAGTCTCCGGTGTTAAGGGTCAGGGTAGCTTGTACAGAGCATTATGGGTAATGCAGTTCATCATGCTATACAAGTTACCCACCAGTGCTGACTCCACCAGTGAAGATCCATGCTCCGGTGGTGACTGCAGCCTTGATGAGTCCCTTCCCTAACACCTGTTTGAGTTTGGGCTGCAGCTCAAAGTTCTGCAGACCTCCGTGGATAGAGATGAGCAGGTTGGGGAGTTCCAGCTGCCAGTCTTTCACCATCAGTTGGAGCAGATTGTCTGGCTTAGAGTCATGGGACACTCTGATGTACTGGAGTGGGATAGGAGAGGAGAATAGTTCAACTGAGTTGTCTACACATTGCAGGAATGATTCTAGAACAATAAAGGGTTCTCCTGGCGGGACAAGCACCCTTTTTGAAAAATAGTAAATTTTGAGTTGGGGGACGTTGGTTTATTTCTGCATGCAAGCTCTTGTGGTTGTGTTGTGGATGGGTCATAACTGGTCTGGTGTAGTTGTGGTTGTGATGTGCTGGATTCATTCGATTGTGCTTATTTTGGAGATTTTTGCTGGATTTTGGTTGTGGTGTAGTTATGGTGTAGTTATGATGTGGTTATGGTGTTGGTGTGGTGTGGTTATGGTGTGGTTGTGGTGTGGTTATGGTGTGGTTGAGGTGTGGTTATGGTGTGGTTGTGGTAGTGTGGTTATGGTGTAGTTATGATGTGGTTATGGTGAAGTTATGGTGTAGTTATGGGTGGTGGTTAGTTTGGTGTAGTTCTGGTGTCGGTCTGGTGTCGTTCGTGTGGTTGGGTGTGTGGTTCTGGTGTGTGTTATGGTGTAGTTGTGAGTGTTGTGGGGTGTGTGTGTGTGGTTATGGGTGTTGGGTGGTTGTGGTTTGGTGTGGTGTATGGTGTGGTTGTGGTGTGTTTGGTGGTGGTGTGTTGTGGTAGTTATGGTGTGTTGTGATGTGGTTTGTGTGTTGGTGTGGTGTGGTTATGGTGTGGTTGGTGGGTGGTTGTGGTGTGGTTATGGTGTGGTTGTGGTGTAGTTGTGGTGTGGTTATGGTGTGGTTATGGTGTGGTTGTGGTGTGGTTATGGTGTAGTTGTGATGTGGTTATGGTGTGGTTATGGTGTGGTTATGGTGTGGTTATGGTGTGGTTATGGTGTGGTTGAGGTGTTGATGTTGTTGTTGTTGTTGTTGTTGTTGTTGTTGTTTATAGTTTGACAGGTCATAGCTCCTACCATTGCCTTGTTGATGAAGCCTCCCCCCTGGAATTCGATGGTCCCGAAGGCGTCTGTAGGTGAGGTCTGTGTGTGTTTGGCCACGGACCACCTCTCCTGCTGCTGGGGCGGGTCGATCTGGACCAGCTGATGGTTCTCTTCTGACGGCTTGTTGGGCAAGAGTGCCCAGCGGGATCACCACATGCTGCGTCATCAGCTGACCACACGAACATCTACAGGGGATTAGGTCACTAGACTGGTTAAGACAGCAGGGTACAGGTCACTAGACTAGTTGTTTTTGACCAGGCCACAGCAGGGTACAGGTCACTGGACTAGTTAAGGTAGCAGGGTTCAGGTCACTAGACTGGTTAAGACAGCAGGGTTCAGGTCTCTAGACTAGTTGTTTTTGACCAGGCCACAGCAGGGTTCAGGTCACTGGACTAGTTAAGGTAGCAGGGTTCAGGTCACTAGACTGGTTAAGACAGCAGGGTACAGGTCACTAGACTAGTTGTTTTTGACCAGGCCACAGCAGGGTACAGGTCACTAGACTAGTAAAGACAGCAGGGTTCAGGTCCCTAGACTAGTTGTTTTTGACCAGGCCACAGCAGGGTTCAGGTCACTAGACTAGTTAAGGTAGCAGGGTTCAGGTCACTAGACTAGTTAAGACAGCAGGGTACAGGTCACTAGACTAGTTATTTTTGACCAGGCCATAGCAGGGTTCAGGTCACTAGACTAGTTAAGGTAGCAGGAGTCAGGTCTCTGGACTAGTTGTTTTTGACCAGGCCACAGCAGGGTTCAGGTCTCTAGACTAGTTGTTTTTGACCAGGCCACAGCAGGGTTCAGGTCACTAGACTAGCTAAGGTAGCAGGGTACAGGTCACTAGACTAGTTATTTTTGACCAGGCCACAGCAGGGTACAGGTCACTAGACTAGTTAAGGTAGCAGGGTACAGGTCACTAGACTAGTTAAGGTAGCAGGGTTCAGGTCTGTAGACTAGTTGTTTTTGACCAGGCCACATCAGGGTTCAGGTCTCTAGACTAGTTAAGGTAGCAGGGTACAGGTCACTAGACTAGTTATTTTTGACCAGGCCACAGCAGGGTACAGGTCACTAGACTAGTTAAGGTAGCAGGGTACAGGTCACTAGACTAGTTAAGGTAGCAGGGTTCAGGTCTCTAGACTAGTTGTTTTTGACCAGGCCACAGCAGGGTTCAGGTCTCTAGACTAGTTGTTTTTGACCAGGCCACAGCAGGGTTCAGGTCACTAGACTAGTTGTTTTTGACCAGGCCACAGCAGGGTTCAGGTCACTAGATTAGTTGCTTTTGACCAGGCCACAGCAGGGTTCAGGTCACTAGACTAGTTAAGGTAGCAGGGTTCAGGTCTCTAGACTAGTTGTTTTTGACCAGGCCACAGCAGGGTTCAGGTTACTAGACTAGTTGTTTTTGACCAGGCCACAGCAGGGTACAGGTCACTAGACTAGTTAAGGTAGCAGGGTTCAGGTCTCTAGACTAGTTGTTTTTGACCAGGCCACAGCAGGGTACAGGCCACTAGACTAGTTGTTTTTGACCAGGCCACAGCAGGGTTCAGGTCACTAGACTAGTTAAGGTAGCAGGGTACAGGTCACTAGACTAGTTAAGGTAGCAGGGTTCAGGTCTCTAGACTAGTTGTTTTTGACCAGGCCACAGCAGGGTTCAGGTCACTAGACTAGTTGTTTTTGACCAGGCCACAGCAGGGTACAGGTCACTAGACTAGTTGTTTTTGACCAGGCCACAGCAGGGTTCAGGTCACTAGACTAGTTAAGGTAGCAGGGTACAGGTCGCTAGACTAGTTGTTTTTGACCAGGCCACAGCATGGTACAGGTCTCTAGACTAGTTGTTTTTGACCAGGCCACAGCAGGGTACAGGTCACTAGACTAGTTGTTTTTGACCAGGCCACAGCAGGGTTCAGGTCACTAGACTAGTTAAGGTAGCAGGGTACAGGTCACTAGACTAGTTGTTTTTGACCATGCCACAGCAGGGATGCAGCCTAGAAGTACTGTACACACATCAAATCAAATCAAAGTAATTGGTGCTCAGATTTAAATATGTTATTGTTAGTATACTCAGATTTAAAGATGTTATTGGTAGCGTACTCAGATTTAAAGATGTTATTGGTAGCGTACTCAGATTTAAAGATGTTATTGGTAGCGTACACAGATTTAAAGATGTTATTGGTAGCGTACTCAGATTTAAAGATGTTATTGGTAGCGGACTCAGATTGAAAGATGTTATTGGTAGCGTACTCAGATTTAAAGATGTTATTGGTAGCATACTCAGATTTAAAGATGTTATTGATAGCGTACTCAGATTTAAAGATGTTATTGGTAGCGTACACAGATTTAAAAATGTTATTGGTAGCGTACTCAGATTTAAAGATGTTATTGGTAGCGTACTCAGATTTAAAGATGTTATTGTGCCGCTTCCTTACACAGGAAGCGGCACAGGTCCTAATCCAGGCACTTGTCATCTCCCGTCTGGACTACTGCAACTCGCTGTTGGCTGGCCTCCCTGCCTGTGCCATTAAACCCGTACAACTCATCCAGAATGCCGCAGCCCGTCTGGTGTTCAACCTTCCCAAGTTCTCTCACGTCACCCCCCTCCTCCGCACACTCCACTGGCTTCCAGTTGAAGCTCGCATCCGCTACAAGACCATGATGCTTGCCTATGGAGCAGTGAGGGGAACGGCACCTCTGTACCTTCAGGCTCTGATCAGTCCCTACACCCAAACGAGGGCATTGCGCTCATCCACCTCTGGCCTGCTGGCTCCCCTTCCTCTGCGGAAGCATAGTTCCCGCTCAGCCCAGTCAAAACTGTTCGCTGCTCTGGCACCCCAATGGTGGAACAAGCTCCCTCACGATGCCAGGACAGCGGAGTCACTCACCACCTTCCGGAGACATTTGAAACCCCACCTCTTTAAGGAATACCTGGGATAGGATAAAGGAATCCTTCTACCCCCCCCCCCCCCCCCCCCCCAATTGTAAAGTGGTTATCCCACTGGCTATAGGGTGAACGCACCAATTTGTGAGTCGCTCTGGCTAAGAGCGTCTGCTAAATGACGTTAATGTGCCCTTGAGCAAGGCACTTAACCCTAATTGCTCCTGTAAGTCGCTCTGGATAAGAGCGTCTGCTAAATGACTAAAATGTAAAAAAAATGTAAATGTTATTGGTAGCGTACTCAGATTTAAAGAAAAAAAAGATTTCTGGCTCCTAGGTGTCTTTTATACAGGTTACAAACTGAGATTAGGAGCACACTCTTAAAGGGAGTGCTCCTAATCTCAGTTTGTTACCTGTATAAAAGACACCTGTCCATAGAAGCAATCAATCAATCAGATTCCAAACTCTCCACCATGGCCAAGACCAAAGAGCTCTCCAAGGATGTCAGGGACAAGATTGTAGACCTACACAAGTCTGGAATGGGCTACAAGACCACCGCCAAGCAACTTGGTGACAAGGTGACAACAGTTTAGTGCGTTTATTCGCAAATTGAAGAAACACAAAATAACTGTCAATCTCCCTCGGCCTGGGGCTCCATGCAAGATCTCACCTTGTGGAGTTGCAATGATCATGAGAACGGTAAGGAATCAGCCCAGAACTACATGGGAGGATCTTGTCAATGATCTCAAGGCAGATGGGAACATAGTCACCAAGAAAACAATTGGTAACACACTACGCCGTGAAGGACTGAAATCCTGCAACGCCCGCAAGGTCCCCCTGCTCAAGAAAGCACATACATGCCAGTCTGAAGTTTGCCAATGAACATCTGAATGATTCAGAGGAGAACTGGGTGAAAGTGTTGTGGTCAGATGAGACCAAAATGGAGCTCTTCGGCATCAACTCAACTCGCCGTGTTTGGAGGAGGAGGAATGCTGCCTATGACCCCAAGAATGTTTTTCTGCTAAGGGGACAGGACAACTTCACCGCATCAAAGGGACGATGGACGGGGCCATGTACCGTCAAATCTTAGGTGAGAACCTCCTTCCCTCATCCAGGGCATTGAAAATGGGTCGTG